TTCACTTTAATTTCATCTTGGGTCTTATTTTCACATTATTTTGTTTTTTTTTGTCAATGACGAATTTATAAATATTATCGGTCAAATTATTGATAGATGATGTTTTATTCGAGACTATTTAGTTTTATATTTCATTTTCCTATTTATTTCCATTTTTATTCATTTTCTGATCGATGATGTCTTTAGATTCGTAAGCGTCGCGTATCGGAGTTGATAACCTTCTCGATTTCAAATCTATGGGGAATGACCATTGGGGTCATTTTCCGTACTTTGGGATCGTGATAGGCTACCTTTGATTAACCGACATTATGTTTGCAATTAAGACGAGATCCCATTTTCTTCGTGTCCCGATTCGATTCAATAAATTGACCATTAAATCTAACTCCCGTCAAATATTATTGTGGATATTATTGTCATATTTATCTTACTATATATTCATATTGTCATACTCATTATTCATATTCATTCACCCATATTCGAAAATACCTAATAAATTATCGAAACTCCTAAAAGCCAAATTGGTGGACTGTTGGATCTTTGGTCATTTGCAGGTATCTTAATATTAAGTCGTGCCCGACTTTTCTCAAGGCGTAGTTTAGGACACAAATACACACACACGGCTTTCTCTTGGGCTACCTGACAATGAGACCTCTTTATTTCGTGCAATCCCGTGTAAATTACATGTATCCCTTCCCCATTCCAATGTATGTTTCACATTTATTTGATTATTAGTTTATCTCCTAGGAGCACCCATAGGGACTAGAGCGGATCAAACTATTTTCAAACTAATTCTCGATTCATCATCGAGCCACTTTCAAACAACCCGTAAGTCGAGTGCTTATACGCATTCTCCATCAACCTATTACAACTCGACCCTTGATGCGTAAGTCAAGTCGGTCTCTTTTTTTAAATAATTTCATTTTCAACACGCTTTGCACGCGATAATGAGTCAAACCCTTGATCCAACGTCAAGCGGATTTTTGAAACAAATTACCAATCAATTAACAATTATTTAACGCTTTTGCAAGGTGTAAAGAGTGGGTTCAAGTCTTTGAGCTTGCTTTCGATTGTTTGGATGCAAGTTATCTTATTCGTGTGTGAGCAATTGATGCCTTTAAATAACATTAACAACTCGACAACATTCAACCATATCTAATTACTCATCCTTTCACTCACCTTTCAAACAACTTCTTTTACGATGAAAAGAGAGTGTCCCAAGTCTTTGGTTCGCTCTCCCGACTACTTGGACCCGAGAAGCCTTTCTCAAGATTCAAGTAGTCGTCATTCGACCAATCTCATCCTTTTATACACCATTTCAAGTTCAAACAACCTTCTTTTACGATGAAAAAGAGAGTGTTCCAAGTCTTTGGTTCGCTTTCCCGATTATTTGGGGTCTGTGAAGTCTTTCTTAGGCTCCAAGTGATCGTCATCATTTCAACCTTATCCTTTCAAACACATCATTCCTTCATGATGAAAAAGAGAGTGTTCCAAGTCTTTGGTTCGCTCTCCCGATTACTTGGGTCCGAGAAGTCTTTCTTAAACTTCGAGTAATCGTCATCCGTACCTTTAGCAAATAATTTTAGCAAAACATAAATATTTCAAGAGGTTCCTGTAGAGTACTACAGATACTTAGGGTGCTAATACCTTCCCTTAGCATAACCAACCCCCACACTTTTGATCTCTCTTTGCTTAACTTTAAGCCTTGCTTTTTTACTTTGCATTTTTATTTATGGGCTATTCTTTCTTTTCCCTTCCCTTAGAAAAATTAAAGATCGGTGGTGATATTTTATGATTTGTGATTTAAGTTAATTCAATAGCTTGATATCCGATTCTCACCATGACAGCAATGGCGACTTCACAGGGGACCATTGTTCAGTGGGTTGAGCCTAACTTGTTATATTTGTGTTGCTATTTTTGTTTGCTTGTATACTTGTATATTTGTATATATTTGTACATATATCTTTTTGTGTCTGGGTTTTTCTGTATGCAGGGTTGTTACCTTGAGTGGTGAGGATAAGTCTTATACCCTAACTTGAGTGCACATATGATAGGAAGGTGGTATATTCAATAAGGCTTATAGGGATTTGATTCCCAACCAAGCTGACTTGAGAAACCACCGCTTAATGGAGGCCTTCTTGAGAGTAGTTTTGTTGAACGAGTATTTGTGAAAACATTACTACTTTCAACCTAGGAGCCTGTGATATTGAGTATCTTTAGTTACCCACTGTCATACCCTAAATTTGTCCTACCGGTACGTAATGTCATTTGTATACCTATACACCTTTCAGAAAGTCAAGAAAGATATATTGCCTTGGCTTGTTTTCTAAATTCAAGATATCACAAGGATGGTTTAAGGAGAAATAAGGTTCATCTAAAGCTTATCAAGACAAGAGTTTGTACAATGTTGTTTCCACTGGATCAGACAAGAATTTGTCCTTCTATCATGGCTATGATACGCATTGCCACCGGTATGGATTTAAGCATTAGTGAAGGTTTGGGCATTAATTGAGGTCAGTATCACCACATGAATTAAGGTTATCAGTTTATGTTTGAAGGTTCAAGAACCGTTTTGTATGGTGTAGCCAAACCGAGATCATGGCTTTTGAACCAAGAGGTTTCAAGTTATGAAAATATTATTTCCAAATTATTCTCAAGCCAAATCATGCAATGGAGTCATTTTAAAGCCTAGGCAAATTTGTTTGCCAATCAAAGATAGTCAATTGATTCCAAGGTTAATTTTGATTCCTATGATTACTTGATTGGCAACATTTACTTTAGGAAAAAGTCTCAAGCTATGATTTATATTCCAAGAAACAGGAGCCAAAATGCATACAACTCGACCTCAAAATATTTCATCAGAATGTGCATAGTTTTTTTTACAACCAGAAAAGATATAGTACACAACAAATGCTTGGCTACATGATAGTCCCATGATTATAAAGAAACCCAAGGCTTTTCCCAAACTACCAGTCCAAGCAAAACCAATATTGAAATATATAAAAATGGACAGGATTAGAATAGGTCGCAACAGCAGCTATAGCACGTCCTGCCGAATAAGAGAAGTCTCAACGCATCTCTTGACCGGTCTTCGAATGGAATTGTCGGCAGCTGCAAAGCCATTCATCAGAATGTACATCATGTACAACATCAAAACTGTCAAAATCGAAACAAAGGGAAGTAAACAACAACAGGTTACAAGAGAATATGTATGCATGGATAAGCATTACCGGAAGCGTTACGAAAGCGACGATCTCAGGCAGCACTGTGACTGTTCGTTCTGTTTCTATTTACAATACCAAAGTTCATGAGGAATGAGCTTGGAAGCTTGCTTCAGGTATCAAGGCCAAACCCGTATTTGAAATTCAGTCGGCGCATACAGGAATCACTTGCATTCAATGAGACCTGATAGTAATGTAAACACCATCACTAATGGGTGAAACCTTTGGAGTTGAGTTCATGCCACTTAAATCATACTGATGATGTTGGGATTGCATTGAGTTTTGATCAAAGGAATCAGAGGATGAATATCCCATTTCCATACCTATTGGTCGGAAAATTATGTGATAGTTGTTCCTTGGTTAGTGGAGGTGTCACTGGGCTGTCTGCTATTGATTCACACTTTGAACTCTCGTCTTCAGATCTTGCTGGGAGTTGGCAACGGGAAGGCTTTGCGGTTAAACCTTTGAACATTGTAAAGTTCCATGACTTGGTCATAGTTCTCTGCCCACCATCTCTGAGCTTGCCATTTGTTAAGTGTATCGCGACTGAACCGTATCCGCTTTAGGCATTCCCAGCCTTGAGTTTGTAACATTCTGCAAAGTCAGAAAAGAATAGTCATTAAGTGAATATATTTCTATCCCACAAAAGGACAGTACCTACAAAAAATGAATAGAAATACAAGCTGTTGTGATTGGGGAATGTGTAAAACCATTCCTATCATAAATGACAAAGAGGGAGTTCACAGAGTTTTCACAAAAGGCCGGTTTTGACAGAGAAGTGTAGCAGATACAACCCACCCAGCAGATGGCACAAAACCAACTGGTTCAGCCTCAAAATTATTTCCGGAAGCAAATTCCCCACCATCAATATTTACAGCAACCTTCCTCCTTCCAGCCATATGGAGTTACAGGTCATCAAAATGTTCAGGAACTTGGTTATGAACAGATGTGTATGTAGCGAAGAGTCAGTTCCCACAACCTGAAACTTCAACAATGACAGGAGCAATCAGATTCATGGTCTGGAGTCACAATGACAATTGGATGGACTCTGGTAATAAAGTATTGGCAGAACAACATGAACAATGTTAAAGCCAACAAATCTGCTCATGAAGAATCAGTCCGTGACCTGAGTTTCTGTTCTATTCGTGTTCTGATGATACCATGGTTAAAGTGTGGGATTTTGCACGCTGTCAAGAAAAGTGTTCATTAACCGGCCATCATCAATGCATACAAACTTTCAGCACCTGACCTGCAAAACAATAAGACAGAAATGCTGAAAAACACATATACACCAAAAAATGAAAAGCACAAATTCCTTCGTACAACTCAACGTAACCATGTCATGAATAATTTACAATGTATTAGAAATTCACAAGTCCACCAGACCATGATTCACACGCTCCAGCCAGTGTGCGACTTGTGCATCACCAAGAGTTACTCCAGTGTCATATCCTCAATTCACAGGCGATCCGCAAGACCGTTACTTTCCTACACACTGTCCTGCAAGAAAACTACAGTAGTGCAGCATAAAGGAGATGGTAAAAACACAAAATCGGCTTCACACGCTGCGAGTCGTTATGCAACACAAGCTCTACATCACTCTGCATCAACTCACAGTTCACGCACACAAGCCACGAGATTTCGTATGAAAGATGATACACACCACCACCTGCTATGACTTTACGTGCCTTCGTACGTTAGTCGCAACTTGTAGTAATCATACTCCATTTTCGTACCGCAAGCCACCTCAAGCCGCAACTCTACCGTCATGTACTCCACAAGTTAATTCATGGTTACCTACATATAAGTTTTCATGCCTTGAGTTAAACGACAGTACATTCACATGACCACAAAATTGCAAACCGTAAATGACACATCCATTACCATGGAAAAAGCCTTGCTGTTTGACAACATAACACGCAACCAACAAGTGAGGAATTTGTTCCGTACCATACACCAGTTGCAAAAAATGTTACCTGCAGCAAAAGATAACAGCACAAACCGTACGGCAGCATCAACGCGAGAATGCACAACAAAAGATGAAACCGTACGCATCAACAGATCATTACCGACAATAAAGGAGGAAACTTTCATGAGGTAGGAAAGACAGTCGAGGATCCCCACACAATCTTGTTCATGAAATGGCCGCGAGAGCTCTGTAAACGAAATAACAGTCCATACCGTGACCACACAATTCATAACTTTCTTCAAGCTGTTACAACACGCTAAACCAATTCCTGAATATAGTGCTTAAAACCAGCGTGAGTTTTCCATTTTCACAGGACTTAGCTTCAAATTACCGCGCACGATAATTCTGCGAAATCACAAAATAAAGTGAGTCTTTCTATCCCACATAAAATGGACATCAACTGCAGAAGAAGGACAACACCAAATGCCCCCCACACAAAAGTTTCGGTGACCCCAATACCTACAACTAAGTGAAGAAAAAATGTTGCTCCAAGACCAAGCCCGGATTTTGTCTCGTCGTCGGATTAATTCATTACCTGCGGACAAAATAAGACGACGAGTTATGACATAAGGTAATTGGTTCCCATAAACCATAATCAAATGCTAACTGGTGCTACATGAATGATAAAAATCAGTACAAGTGCAAAAAAAAACACCTGCAGCACAACATGTTCAAACATAGTTACAGATTAATGTGAATACCATTTACCACAGTAAAAGTAAAAAGCAGTTACCACAGTGAAAACTAATTGAAGATATTACCTCACTACAGACAAAAAGGAGATTAAGTCAATCGTACTACCTCACCTCACTCCTCCACAGACTCTCTCCATATAAAACCATATGAGACATGACAGCAAAAGAAAAACCCTAATCTGAGATAGAGTCTCCAAACCCTAGCCGCCAGTTTTCCTCCTTTCTCTCACTGTTCTTCTTTTTTTTCAAGCTTTGAAAAAAACCTCATCGTCCAATAAACAAAACTCTCAACTAACAAAAGCTCCAGATATCTCCACCCCAAAACTAGAATCCGACACTCCTTCTTCCCTCAATCAAAAATTTCCCCAAATCTCCACCATTAACGACATCAAACCCAATCATCTTCTTCAACCAAATCGTACCCATTCTCTACTAAAAACACCACCAAAACCAATAACCAGACCTCCCTAATCTGCTCCTCCTTCTTTATTTTTATTTCGAACAAGAAAAAACCCTAACGTCTTCTTCAAGCTCATTCTTCAATTTCATCAAACTTCCCTCAAATCCCTAGTTTCTTCAAACATCTTAACAATACAATACTCACAAACCTCCCAAACCTACCACAAACAGAAACCGGATTCAAAAACAGAAATATTGAGAGATGAGATGAAGAGGAGAGTGAGGCTGAAACATCTACATACCCGAAATTGAGCAAACAGCGGTGAGGAATATTGTCGTCGAACATCGTTTTATGTTACAATAGCTTGCCGCGGTGACGAATGTTTCCTGATTCGCGTTCATTGCTTCAAGTCAGCTTTGCTCCTAAGTTAAAATTTGTTTTCAATCTTACAAACCCAGTTTGTTGTGCCCTGTTTTTTTAAGAATGATTGGATTTTCTTTTAGCTTTTTCTCCTGCTTTTTCACGATCCGTGTGGTTTGAAGTGGGTCTCATGGCCCTTTAATTTTAATTAAGTATTTCCCCTATTTTGTTTCTGCTGTGTGAAATGAGGAGATGATGGGCCTACGAGCCCAGATGATTCTCACGGTGTTCTCCCAACATGGACACCCATCTTTCCAGCATACCCATTTTCTTTTTGAACTTTTGAGTTTTACTTTTGTTTAAAAAATAAGTCTTATTAATTATTTTAGTAATTACAATTCGTTGTCTTAAATCATTTTGTACTCCATATTTTTCTATTATTCACTTTAATTTCATCTTGGGTCTTATTTTCACATTATTTTGTTTTTTTTTGGTCAATGACGAATTTATAAATATCATCGGTCAAATTATTGATAGATGATGTTTTATTCGAGACCATTTAGTTTTATATTTCATTTTCCTATTTATTTCCATTTTTATTCATTTTTTGATCGATGATGTCTTTAGATTCGTAAGCGTCGCGTATCGGAGTTGATAACCTTCTCGATTTCAAATCTATGGGGAATGACCATTGGGGTCATTTTCCGTACTTTGGGATCGTGATAGGCTACCTTTGATTAACCGACATTATGTTTGCAATTAAGACGAGATCCCATTTTCTTCGTGTCCCGATTCGATTCAATAAATTGACCATTAAATCTAACTCCCGTCAAATATTATTGTGGATATTATTGTCATATTTATCTTACTATATATTCATATTGTCATACTCATTATTCATATTCATTCACCCATATTCGAAAATACCTAATAAATTATCGAAACTCCTAAAAGCCAAATTGGTGGACTGTTGGATCTTTGGTCATTTGCAGGTATCTTAATATTAAGTCGTGCCCGACTTTTCTCAAGGCGTAGTTTAGGACACAAATGCACACACACGGCTTTCTCTTGGGCTACCTGAAAATGAGACCTCTTTATTTCGTGCAATCCCGTGTAAATTACATGTATCCCTTCCCCATTCCGATGTATGTTTCACATTTATTTGATTATTAGTTTATCTCCTAGGAGCACCCATAGGGACTAGAGCGGATCAAACTATTTTCAAACTAATTCTCGATTCATCATCGAGCCACTTTCAAACAACCCGTAAGCCGAGTGCTTATACGCATTCTCCATCAACCTATTACAACTCGACCCTTGATGCGTAAGTCAAGTCGGTCTCTTTTTTTAAATAATTTCATTTTCAACACGCTTTGCACGCGATAATGAGTCAAACCCTTGATCCAACGTCAAGCAGATTTTTGAAACAAATTACCAATCAATTAACAATTATTTAACGCTTTTGCAAGGTGTAAAGAGTGGGTTCAAGTCTTTGAGCTTGCTTTCGATTGTTTGGATGCGAGTTATCTTATTCGTGTGTGAGCAATTGATGCCTTTAAATAACATTAACAACTCGACAACATTCAACCATCTCTAATTACTCATCCTTTCACTCACCTTTCAAACAACTTCTTTTACGATGAAAAGAGAGTGTCCCAAGTCTTTGGTTCGCTCTCCCGACTACTTGGACCCGAGAAGCCTTTCTCAAGATTCAAGTAGTCGTCATCCGACCAATCTCATCCTTTTATACACCATTTCAAGTTCAAACAACCTTATTTTACGATGAAAAAGAGAGTGTTCCAAGTCTTTGGTTCGCTTTCCCGATTATTTGGGGTCTGTGAAGTCTTTCTTAGGCTCCAAGTGATCGTCATCATTTCAACCTTATCCTTTCAAACACATCATTCCTTCATGATGAAAAAGAGAGTGTTCGAAGTCTTTGGTTCGCTCTCCCGATTACTTGGGTCCGAGAAGTCTTTCTTAAACTTCGAGTAATCGTCATCCGTACCCCTTCAAACTCAATTCAAATCCAGTTTCTTTCGTGGTTGTTACCACGAACTACGAACGCTCTGATTCTTCATTCACTCTTGAATGTAAGATACGTAGGCACAAGATTGCGATGATCTTGGCGAGCACAATTCCTCCATCTTTCATTTCCCCCATCCTTTCCCGTAGTCGAACTACGACGCTCTGATTTCTCATTCTCGTCTGAATGAGCATACGTAGGCACAAGGGCCCCAATCCTTGGCGAGCACCCTATCCTCTAAACCATCCCCTTTCCCCTAGTGTATTTATCCTTTTATAGTATCCTTTAGCCTTTAGTAGCGAGAAGAGAAGAATTAAGTTTAGCTAACATCCATCACAACTCGAATTAAGAGGTTCCCGTCGAGTACGACGGACGTGAGGGGTGCTAATACCTTCCCCTCGCGTAACCGACTCCCGAACCCAGGAATATGGTTGCGACGGCCGTGTTCCTTTCCGCGCTTACGAGGTTTTCTCGATATTTTCCTCTCCCGTTCATTCGGGAAAAATAAAGTTCGGTGGCGACTCTGTCGAACCGCATTTCCACGCCTTTCGCGCGAGGGTCGTATGTTCGAAATGAATTTTCGAGGTGCGACAGGTGGCGACTCTGCTGGGGACTATTGCTCCATGCAAGAGAGAGTCAAGCCTATCTTAGTTTGAGTTGTTAGCTTGTTGTCTTTTATTTTCTTCTCGCTTATTTATTGGTATCCTTGTCTTGGTTATTTGTGCTTGAGGCATCGTGGGGGTTGCTATACTTATGGTTACTTTGTGAGATGGCTCTACACCCGAGTCTGAGTAAAACCCTAAGATTAGGATGGTGGTTGTGTAGTGGAGACTTGCGTGGAGTCTTTCACGTTAAGTTGAAGCGAAAACCCCGCTTGGAGTAGATTCCTTGGAGATATTGTTGTTGTGGTGAGTCTTTGCCATTACAATAATGTTTTCGAGTTTGAATCATTTATCCCAAGGACCATAAACCGTTTTATCCATGGTGGTTGGTAGTGTTAATTCTTTGTGAATTAATATGAACGCCCCAATCAGACGAGATCCCTTGAACGTATTACTTTCTTACAGTAATATTTTCAACCTCGATCTATGACTCTGAGAACCTTTGCTAGAATCCGTGTGTCGATGGTTGTGTAGTTGATGCCTCCGAGAAGTCTTTCTCGCGTGGAAGATACGAGAACCTCACCTAGAGGAGATTCTATTGAGGATATTATCATCATGATGAGGCTTTGTCATGGCAGTAATATCTTTGAAAGATATCCATGACTCTAGGCACCTACCCGTTTTAGAATCCTACCCGTGGGGGTTTCTTTGAGCAGTGACTGCGATCCTTGAACCGTTCACCCGACTAATCTCAGAATTGTTTGATTTGTGATCTTGCGATCCTGGATCTTGCATCTTGCATTGCATATCATTTGCATTGCATCTCATTTGTTGTGCATCTTGCATTATCCTTCCTTCATCAGTTTCTCATGTTTTTCTTTCCTTCATATCCAGTAAATCAAGATGAGTCCTCGACACCAGTACGCAACTAGAGCCAATACAAGACGAATGATGGAGCAGATTCAACAGGAGCAAGCTACCTTCAGGGAAGAGTTGGATTCTATGAAAGGAAAGATCAACCAGATCCTCGAAGCAATCCTCGTGGCCAGGAGAGAGGAAGAACAGCGTGAAGCCGCTGCTGTCGTCAACAACAATGGTCAAGGACAAGGGTCTACTGCCATCCCTTTGGTTCCAATTCCAAATCCTCATG